TGCCACTTTTCCAGGCCGGTGCTGACCCAGCTGGGTCTGTCCCATCTGGAGCAGCATGTAGCTGAAGCCAGCTTACCATGAGCTACTGGGGATGGGAGGAGCCCGGCTGGGTCTGCACCGGCCAGTAGAAGCAGCGGCAGAGCCGTGTGCCGCTCGGGACGGGACGAGCCCAGCCAGAGCAGCAGGAGCTGAGCTGCATTTTCCCCCCTGCCTGCACCGGTGAGTCCCAACTCCTCTCATCCCCAGCAGCACATGGGAACCCGGCTTCCGCTTCATGCTGCTCCAGATGGGACAGACCCACCTGGGTCGGCACCAGCCAGCAGAAGCAGCGGCAGAGCCATGTGCCACTCGGGACTGACCAGTGCAGGTAGGGGGAAAGTGCAGCTGAGACCCTGCTGCTCTGGCTGGGCTCATCCTGTCCCGAGCGGTACATGGCTACTCCTCTTCCCACACACACCGCATTGGCAACGTCAAGCTGATACGGTGCGTGTGGGAACCTTTCCCTTCCCTAGCCCTTCAACAGCCATTAGGAAGCTGCTGAAGGGCTGGAGGAGGAACAAGGGGTGGGAACGAAAGTAAACTGCATTTACCTTTGCTTCCCATTGCAGCACCATGGGCCACAGAAAATGGCTTGGCGGGCCGTATGTTGGACAAGCCTGGTATAAACTATTCATGATATTTGTCCGAAGCTCAAAGGCTCATGATTTATCATAGTTCATTGGGCTTGGCCCCCACCAGAATCAGCAGCATTTCAATAGAGGGTGACCCCAAAGCTCAGCACTGCTCAGTATGTGTGTACTCCATATACCCCCCATAAAGGATCCATGTGCCCCCCACTCACTACTGGAACCGGGTGTTTTTTTTCATAAGTCATGAGATCCTCCAAAAATGTATATGCAGATGAGGTACAGAGTCACCTGCTCTGGCACCACCTCATGATGGGTGAAGCTATACCAATCACATGCGACAGGCTGAGAGAGGGGGTGATAGCGCCTCTCATCTACATAGATGTTTTGTGATGTTTGTTAAACATTTAAGGCTGGTGAAGAAACAGAAATAATTAGAAAAGGGAAAGAAAGGTGTTGCTCAGCTGTGGGAGTAAAGAGGAAGCTGAAATGTATTCAAAGTAGTGGTTCACCATGAGTTCAAAAAAGAGTCAGTGCTAAGGGGGACCGAGTATAACGGGCACTATATCTTATTCAGATAGGCTGCACTAACTTAGCTTTATTATTGATTCCCTTCAGCATGTTTGCCCAATATTAGCCATGTATTTTACAACCATGCTCAGGGTGGGCTAACATTTAATCAACTATGTAGCTGGTTTCCATTACTGAGCACATGCCGCTTCTGACAGCAGTTTAATGACAGGCAATATACTTAATGAGGGATGTTTACTTGTATGCAAATATAAAACGAAAGGCTTTTTTCACAATGCTGATTGGGGGGAAAAAACCTTGTCTTATATTTAAATAAATACAGTATTACAAATCACAGTGACATTAGGACACTTCTAGGCGCAGTCTGGAGCTCCAGAATAAACAAAATGGCAATCCCTAGCCAAATGGCAAAAATTCTCCAGTTCACTCAGCCTTCACATCTCCATTCCTCCCCATGCAGTCATGCCCTAAAAACAAAAACTGCTAACTAAACTGTAGTCCAGACACACGCTCCATAAATACTTCCTCTGTTCCAAAAAAAAAAAAAAAAAAAAAAAAGATGTGCGGAGAAGAGAGGAAGATTTCATAAATATGAGCAATTCCCCTTAAACTAAAGCAGGGCAGGCCTGTGTCACAGAACTCTGTTGCTTTTGACCACAATTTCTAAAGCAATGAAGGAGCTTGTTGAAGAAGTAATTCCTAAGAATCTCCTCCTTCCATGATTCATTACTAATATCTATGCTGCACAAGATTCAAACCATCTCCTGTAGCCTGCTGCTGATGCATCTAGGCCACTAGCATTGATTATGAAAATTTGCAAAATCATTCTCAATGTGTCAAGTCACCCAACCTCCCAGTTAGTCAGACAACCTCTTAGGTGCAAAACTATTTTTCTTCCCCATCTCTGAAGCTTCCTATTATCTAATGAACATACAACGCTGAGACTGAGGACTGGAAATTTGAGTTACTGCCATGCGAGTACAGACCTAATATCAAAATAATGTAATTACCAAATTCCTCCAGGACAAAGACTCCTCGCACAGTATTGCACTTTTTAATGTGATTCAGCTCTATGAAAACCTATAAAAAACAGGGGGGAAAAAACCAAACACACGATTAGTCACTGAGGAGAGTCTTTTTATTAAAAAAAAACAAACAAAAACCCCCCAAAAAGAAACACTATCACAGCAGATATAACTTGAAGTGTTCTGGCACATTCTACCAATCCATTTACAGCATAATATATTAATAAAAGGAGAACAAAGATAAAAAAAGACAAATTTGCCACAATGCTAGAAATTAACAAAACTTAAAAGTGCTAAGAAGCAAAGACAGCAGAAGATGAAGTACCTTCCGCTCCTTGCAGGAGGAGAAAGCATGGAAGAGAAACGAAGGAGTTAGTAACTCTGACATATCCAACATTGCTACCCCTTCAGGCACTCAACTGAGTTATAGCAAGAAATAAAAAACCCCAACACACCTGAAATGCAATACAAAGAGGGACAAGAAACAGCTGGCTCCCAAATTTGGTATAACATGGCACCTGTTCCATCCCAGTTGGAGTCTGCCCCTCCATGCATCCTCCTCCAGCACAGAGGGCAGGTAAGAGGAGTGTGATTCCCACCCTTATACTGCTCCTCCCACATTATCCAGGAGTTAAATTTTATGGGCTAAAGGGAATTATCCTTCCCCAACAATTGCATTGCCAACTTAGAATTAGCTATAGACTTTGTAAAATATGATGAGCAGCATGTGCGCTCAAGTGAAGATCCTGGAAAATCATCCTGGAAAGCCATAACTACAGTTAGTCCTTGCAAGGCAAGAAGCAGCTTGTGGAGTTAAGGAGAAGCTATAGGCAGGTCATCAGGAATCAGTTCTATGCTTAGATTTTTTTTTTCAGGAATGAGATATAAAGAATGGCAAAATTTACTTAGAAAGTGTGGGCAAGTCTCTTTCAAACACTCAATAAAGATATATTTGCAAGACTGCATTGCAACCGACTACAGTGACCTTTCCAGTTGCTCTGAATTTATAAAGCCATAATCTCAAGAGCAGATTTAGAATATCATTTGCTGGATGGGGAAGGGATGGGCAGGAAATAACATCTACTAGGAACATAAGGAATGCAAAAGAAATTTGGATGCTTGCCTTCAATTCGTAACTAATAACACTGCTTTCATTTAATCCCAAAACCCAAGAATGGCAAGAGAAAGTCCTGTTGCAAAAGTGAGATCATGCCAGCTAAACAATCTAGTTTTTGAAACAGTCTTACTACACCTGCCTTCAGTAAATGGACTAATAAAACCTTTAGAGTAAATTGGACAGGCTAATTTTAAAGTACAAATAATATTTTCTTTAGTAGAGAAGCTGTAGAAATGATCCCAAGATATTTTAGTCATCAAAATTTTCACCTCATGCATTTTCTCTTTTTGGAGGGTTGCAGAGAAGAGGAAAAAAGCTATGCAAAGGGGTATTTATCCATCTGTTAATCCAAATAATTTCCAGGGACTGCAGTAGTATTTGCTATACAGGTTCAGACTATGCAAAAAAGCTTTTCATTCAGAAGTTCAATGGAAAGGCTCAGATCTATGAGATATATTACTTATCTGGCAGCCCAGAAATCAGAATGGCAAGGCTCTATAAAAAAGCAAGTCACAACTCCAGAGGGACTTGACCTGTTCAAATCACTCTAGAGGGACTTGACCTGTTCAAATACACACTAGTATCCACAATAAATGGGGTTATATATAGACTTTCCATTTTTAGAAATGTAAAATATTTAAAACCGAAACTAAACCAGGGATAAATAAACCACTTTAAACTCTTATGACAGTAATCTGCCCTAGTTCTACATAGCTGCTGATTTTCAGAAAACAGATTTACACAAGTTTGGTGGGCACTGCCTCTCTAGATTTCCTAATACCATTTGGGATAGCAAGGGGGATAGTTCCTCTCCTCTCACTCAGAAACCAACTGAGGGCATAAAGGAAAGAATGGTTACTTACCCTACAGTAACTGTGGCTCTTCAAGATGTTGTAGTCAGTACGGATCCCATTATAGGTGCACATGCGCCTGCTGTGCTGTATTAAAACTCCTATCCAGGTTCCCATGGTTCTACTCAATCTTGGTAGGCCTGCTGGGCCCCAATTGTTACAACATGCCTCATATACAAGAGCTCAGAATCTTCTGAATGGCATCGTCTCGGGGGGACGTGCATGCACCCCGGGCCCCCTCGGAATCCGAATCCAAAGCAATAGCATTAAGGCTGGAGTGGCTATAGCCCTCCCTCAGTTCCACTGTAATTCACAGCGTGTATTAGGAGATGAAGGGTGGATTATGGGATCCATATGGACTATAACATCTCAAAAAGCAGTTACTGTAGAGCAAGTAACTGCTCTTTGAGTATGAATCAGCCTGGATCCCACCGCACATGGCAAGCAAGAAGTATCATCTTCAAGATGGTGGGAATAAGTATCAGCAGCACCAATAAAAGAGATATTGGAGCACTGCTCTCCCAAATCTGGCATCACATTTAACAACCAAGCATAGCACTCACAACCTAGAGTGGACTGATGCACATAGTGGCTTCACAGATTTGAAGTCCTGAAACACTTCAGAACTAGGCAGAGGATGCTGCTTACAATTGATGGACTACACCTTGATGAGCAGAGGGGAAGTACATTTGCCTCCCAATAGCACAGTCACATGATTACATAGTGATGAAACAGCTTGGCCTTTAAGGGAGGCCACGAATCACCAAAGAATGGATATGGTGACAACATGAAAGAATCAGCCTACTGATATAGCATTGAAGACTATGGGATATGTTTAGTGTACAGTTTCTTCTCCTCATGTAGTTTAGGGAAGAACTGAGGTAAGTTGATTGATTACTGTAAGTGGAATTTGAACACGATTTTGGGCTGGGACTTTGCATGAGGTCTCAATATCACTTTGTCTTTGTGGAATGAGGTACAGAGGGGTTTCCCACCTGAATACCTGAAGCTTACTCACTCTCCAGGCCAAGGTAATAGCAAGCAGAAACTTTTAAGGGTGAGCTTGTGCATGGTGTACAGTGCTCAAAAGGTGGAGGATCTGTAAGCTTCAGAAAGCTGACATTGAAGTCCTATAATGCAGTAAGTTCTGTGACTGGTAGGTAAGCATGCATCAGGTCCTGAAGAAACTTCAATACTGACAGACAGAACAATACGGAAAACGGGAATGCAACTGCATGGGAGAGTTATACATCATAACACTGGCCCATTTAATTTGATCAAACTGAAGGACAGAGTGTTTCAAATACATAACTGATCCAGCTTCGATATCAAGAACTTCAGGCACTTGGCAGAGTAATTTTTTCCTCCTTTGGACAGCTTCCTATTTTGGGCCAAGATCTCTTAAAGGTGTCAAGAACTGACCTTTTTCATAGTACTCACCTAGCCAGGGTCAACCCTAATCAGATGCAGTGGTGCAAGGTCTAGACAAAATACTGGTCTTTGAATCTGTGAAAACAGGTCCAGCCAGAATATGGAAGCTTAATTCAGGGGTTGTTTGGATATCTGCAGCAAGTTCATCAGCCAGAAGTGTCTCAACTAGTAGCATGCTCTGAAGATGAGCCTGTCTCATTCTTGTCTAGCTTTGGCCATCAACCCAAGGATTAGAGGCAAGGCATAAAATAATTTGACTCCACTGCAACAAGAAGGTATCCAGTAGGGATCTCAGGCTTCTGCAATAAAATCTGAGTCACTTTCTATTATTCCTGGTAATGAACATTCCCTTTGTTGGATTCCCCTACTGGGGGAATACCAAACTCATGGTTTGTGACTGATTGTTAGCTCAGAAAATCAGTTAAATCACTGAGAGTTCCTGAAAGGTACAAAGTTATCACGATAACATTTATGTAGGCTGCTCCATTTCCAGTCTGATTGCCTTCCTAGAAGAGTGTGTGGTGGGAGTTGAAATAAAAACTCCTTTGTTTGCTTATACAATATATTGTCAACACGTTGCTTGTTAGCATCTGAATTGCTCAGTGCCACAGGCATGGGAAGAACACTGTACATGCCAGCCTGACGGCTCAGACTACCAAAACATTTATGTGGAGCCTCGTGTCCATAGTCTGATGATGATCCTAGATTGTTCAGGTGGGCACCCTATTCCATCTTGGAGGAGTCAATTACTAATGCTCTGGTTATGGGTTATCAAAGGATACTTCCTTTCTGGACACTGCTGCAGTACAAACACCAAGTCAATACCACAAGGCCATGAGATGGCATTAAAGCCAGGCCATCAACCCTGCTGGGGTATTCTTACAACAAAAAAGTACAGCCCGCAGCCAGTCAAGAGTAGATGTGAGTACCTTTCTTCCTTGCATATGTTGCCAAGAGATGAGGCACTTAAAGGCTCCCAGCACTCCCAACAACCCAAAAGGGCAGTAGTTTGTTCTCATAATAGTTTAACCCTGCATGAATCTGAGATACCTCTTATGAGCTGGGTGGATGGAAACGTGGACTTAAATTCTGCAAACTATAAATCATTCCTAAACCTGTAAAGATGGGATGAGAGTAGCCAATATAGGTATTTGTTTAGTCTCATATCTTAGATAAAATAAGGGCTCCCTTTCTTATTTGGAATGAGGAAATAACAGTAGTAGAAATGGTTGTCTCTGTACCCACAAACAATGTTTTCACGGCACTGAAGCACAGCAATAAAACTACTCCTTCTGTAACATGCTTTTGCTGGAAGGGTCACTGAAGACAGCAGGTAGGGGGCTGGATAGGGAGTAAGTAACAAAAGGCAATGGAAGAGGAAACTGTAGGTGACATCTAGCATCCACTCACTGGCTGAAATCTCTGCTAAGCCTAAAGAAAAGAAGCAAGGCAGTCTCCAAAGGTTGGCCATGGGATCCTGGTTGTGTTACACCTCTCCCCTTGTAAAACTTAGAGAAATCAATAAAAAGAGGAGAAGGGGGTCACTAGAATAAAGGAGCTATTTCCTAGAAAGGTACTCCAGCTGGCCAGCATGCGAGCATGGAGATGTTCTTTGCCTTTCAGGGGGCTGACGTAGTCAGGGGTTAGACTCTCCAAGATTTAACCTGCAGCTCTTTTGGGAATTGAGCACCTCATAAGTTCTGACACTCAACAAGTCCATACCATCAAGCAGCAGATCTTCAACGACTGCATGGAACTCTAAGGATGCCAGGTACCTGAAATCAGCAAGTCTGGCACATCAAGACAGATGTAGCCAGGGACCAGACAGTGGTGGAGAATTTATCTACTGTTGCTGAAATACTGCCTTGACTATCTGTCCTTCTCTAAAAATACCCTCAAGTTATTCTCTGCACCACTACAGGAGCCTGAACAGGAATGGAGTCAACCTCTCCTCATCCAAAAATTGCATCTCTCAAATAAAGCTGAATAATTCACAATACAAACTATAGGGAGGCTTAAAAGGAAAGGCTCTTTTGCCAAAAAGGTCTAGTCACTTGAAGTTGCTGACTGGTGGGGCCCCTCTCAATTCTGATCTTCTCCTGAACTGCTGAAACAAGTACATAGGTTAAGGCACATGCAAAACTGCTTTAATGTAGGAGGGACTCAATGCCTTTCCTCTACTTTGGGGAAAACAGAGAAAGGTCTGGGTATATCAAATGTTCTTCATAGAATATAATGCACCCTTGTTGATTGAGATGGCAATTCTCATGAGTACTGAGGAGTTCAGTTTGACAAAACTATTCACAGAAGTTCACAGATTCACAGAAGTTTAGGGATAGAAGGGACCTCGTGAGATCATCGGGTCCAGCCACCCTGCTCTGGGCAGGAAAGACTGCTAGAGTCAAATAACCCCAGCAAGGTGCATGTCCAGTCTCCTTTTAAAGATCTCCAGGGTAGGTGCCTGCACCACCCCTGCTGGGAGTCTATTCCATCCAGAGTCTGGTCACATGAACTGTGAAGAAGTTTTTCCTTGTATCCATTTATGTATACTTATTTATGCATACTTTCCTGGATTATAGATGTTTCAACATCCCATGTACCCATAATCCTATACTCAATTTCCTGGAATACTCAGAAGTTGCTCATAACTTATGTCGGACCTGGGGCATAAGCCCCATCTGCAGGAGAAGGCTTAGAACTTCTTTAGAGGGAGAAGCATCTCCTCGACCTGTTCTGCCCATCTGCATGGTTCTGGACAGGGGACCTTCTCTATCAACAGCGGGCACATCTACACCTGCAAATAATGTGGGAGCAGTTTGCTCTTCAGTAAACTACTCAAGCGTAAACTCTCCAGGGCAGTTGACTACATGTGCAGGGATGCAAGAGCAGATTTTCTGCTCCTAGCAGCAGGCTGCTCCTGCTGCCTTGCAGCCCTGCAATGGGCCCCTGCAGCAGCCAGGGGGTGCTCTAGGCTTGCCCTGGGTGCTAGCCCAGGAGACAGCCGTCTCCTGGCGGAGACTGGAACATTGCTCCCTGGTCCCTGCTCCCAGAAGCAGCCTGCTGCCAGGGCGGGTTCCACCACTGAAGCTCAAACAGGGACAACCCTGCCCCAGCAATAGGGAACTCCCAGCCACTGGGAGGGCTCCGCAAGGGCCCAGGTGGGGAGATCCTTTTCTGCCAGCGCCAGTTCTGTGGTCACGGGGCTGGCACTGGGAGATCCTCATCTCCCAGTGGCAGCCCCATAGTCGTTGGGGTGGGGTCGAGGCTGGGAAATCCTTATCTCCCAGCTTGAGTCCCAGGGTCATGGGACCCAGGCTGGAAAATCCTCATCTCCCAGTGCCAGCTCCATGGTCGCAAGGCTCTGTGGTCATGGAGCTGGCACTGGCAGAGAAGAATCTCATGGGGCCATCCCTGCAACTGCAGAGCTGGTGCTAGGAGAGAAGGATCTCCTAGCTCAGGCCCTGCAACCATGGAACTTAGGCTGGGAGATAAGGATTTCCCAGATCCGGCCCCATGATCCCAGAGCTAGGTCTGGGAGCTCCCTGGCGCCGGAGCAGGGGGACATTGTCCCCACCCGGGCTCTGGTGGTGAAGCCCACCCTGGCAGCAGGGAGCAATCTCCTGCCCCTGCTGCTCAGCCAATTGGGAGCACATTCCAGTGATCCTAACAGTACCAGAAGGAAGAAGGAAAAGCATATCCTCAAGGACAAACATCTACACCAAGGGGGGCTCTTTGGTCAATGTATAAGTTAGTGCCAAGCCCCCTTTCAGTCTTGATGTCAGCACTGGTAACACCATTTCCTTGGTTTTCTATAACCACTAGTGTTTTCCTATCACCCTTCAAGCTTGAGGCTATTAATGGCTTGCCACTGGATTCAGGGTCATCCTCCCAGGACTGATGCAATATCTCTTGGACCTGCGCTTACCAATACATTGGTCCATCATAGAAGGGTTCGAGGTCTCTTTGCCAGGTCAATGCAGAGGATGCCACCACTGAAACCTTCCATGAGGAAAAGATACCTGTTGTGCAGAAGCCCCCTCTATTGGTGCAGACTTGGCCACTTCCTTGAACCTTTCAATCTCCAGGGAGCTGCACGCATACCTGACCAACAGGACATTTGCACAGGGACAGCCTCCTTGGTTTCTATTTGGACATCACTTCCTTTTGCAGGGTCCTGAGTCACTTTTCATGGATTGCTCCAAGGAGGGCTGTGAGACTCAAAACACTTAACTTCTGGGTTCAGGATGAGGAGGAGCAATAAAAAGAGCTCTTATTTTGGATGCGTCCTTCACCAAGACAGAAAAGATGTTACACCCATAAGGAACAAACTGTTGCATGAAAAACAGGATTAAATTTGAGGGCTTAAAACCTGCCCTTTCCAATGCTCGTGTGACTTCAATCCTGTTGTACAGGTCGGTCTTCCCCTGCAGTCCATTTTTATACTGGACATTCAAAATAAAGTAAGGTCAGAACTGTAACTATACAAGTAAAGAATATTCCTTTCTTTACAAAAATTGATCAGAACACCAAAGTGGGTCACACCCAGCCCAGGTTCCATCTGGCTACCAGGCGCAGTAAAATCTGAGAGTGTCGCATTTATGCCCGCCCACACACAAGCGTGTGACAGCACCAAGCACAGGTGTAAGTTCAGGTAACCAAAGATATTCTGAGCTTGTGTACATGAGGCACATGTGCACCTACAGCATGATCGCCACTGACACATACTCAAAGAAGAACAAAGCGTTTACGGATAAACAGTAGAGGAAGATCTAGTTGAGGAAAAGGTTAAAAAAAAAAAACACTCCACAAAACTGACTGACAAAAGCTTTTCTCTTTCTCACACAAACACACGCACCCAATCTTCCTTAACACATGATTCTACTGTCCAGCACAGCACACCTCTAACAACGTATGCAAAACAAACATGAACACACAGCAAAAGAAAAACAAGGGCTAAAGGAGGCAAAAGAAACAACATCCAGAGAAAGAAAGAAAGTGACACACAATTCTGTTTGTGTTTCCTGTATGCCCACAGGGACTGCCATTTGGTGGGAAAAAAGAAATATGTATTTTATTCCTAATCTTCAAAAGGACAGCAAGAGCCATTCCCTTATTTTATTTCCATGCCTGGGTCCACAGGCTCTACCCCAATTTTTTAAATAAGAATTAAACATAATGCACAAAAGTATTCTTTTGCTTGTGCAGGGAAGAGGAAACACAATCAAAGGAAACACATAGTGCAAAAAGCTTCATGCTCACATATTCTTGTTAAAGATTTCCCTCCTACCTGACTGTGCATAAACTTCAAGTTAATTCCTTCCAATGTGACCTGGAGAAGCCCTCCTTCCCCAGTCTTCATATCCTGCACTGGAAATTCACCACCCAATTCAGGGCCTGCAATATGGTAAGAGAAGAAAAGGCAGAAAGGCATCAAATTAAACAGTGTTTGGCACCAAGAGAAACGCACAATACTTTCTACCAATTGCCCAATGAAAGAAAAAAACTACTTAACACACAGCAAAAGTGTACTGTTACTTCTTTGACATGAACAGTATATGAGTACTTGATTAGAGTCCATCAATGATAGACTTCTGAGCATACAAGTGCATTAAAAAAAACTGCATCCTGGTATTTGTAAAACACTATTACAAGCAAGAGAAATTAACAGAACTGCTCACTACATGCATTTCTCACGGCCACATATTAAGACAGCTTTTCTCAGGAAACAACTTTTTTTTCCATGATAAAACACTGGGGAGAGGGAAGTGCAGGGTCATAATGCCCTACACAGCATTAGCCTTAACAGAAGCCGAGTTAAAATGGAGCAAATTTAAAAAATGGATCCTGAAGCCTTAACCCTTCTGCAAATTTGGATGAACATAACACAGCATCACCTAATCCAAACCAATCCATTTCTTGCCTTTCTTGAGACTGACACCTTTATATATGATGAGACTGTTTGCTAGCCTGTGACCCAGAGAGCTCGACTAGTGGCAGCTCTACTCCCTGACAGGGACACCCTCATTAGATAAGTCAAAGGACAGAGGATGGGCAAATAGTTGTCCCCCATTCCTCCAGGTTTGGAGGTTGGGAATGAGGATATGACAATCCCTCTCTATTAAAAATGAATACTCTTGCCAGAGGAACTGAGGGGAGATCTCACCAATCTCCACATAGTGTCACCACAGGGTGAAAATCAAATCCAAACACTCTTAAACACTTGTGAAGCAAAAAAAAAAAGTTTGTTTCCTTTCTTTCAAAAAGGCCAGCTAGGAAATTGTTTTCAGCAATGGACTTAAAAATTGTTTCTGTCACTTCAATAGCATCTCTAATGTGCTCAGGTCAGGATGCTAAATGACTCTGAAATGCATCTTCAATGGTACCTTACTGTCCAAGTCTTAAAACAGTTTCCAAAGATATCTGACAAAGTCTAAAATGGAAAAAAAAACATGCTATAGTAGTTGAAACAATTTTAAAAATAAGGCAGGTCCAACACGGGATAGAGAAAGTGGGTGCTCTCCTCAGCCCCACTGACAAGCTGAACTTCAGCTACTTAAGATGCTAAAATGAGAAACAATTCATTCTCAGTAATGGTGATATACTGAATATGATACCAAACGTTCTCCTGGGTATCTCACTTTTGGCTTCCACCAGTAGGATTAAGGTAAATGCATGGGCATGGCTGAATTAAGGAACAGACAAAATAGAAACATGGCTGTAGCATGGCTCCCAGGGCCAGGTTCTGATTTCAGAATCTATGTATCAGAAGAAGATCTTAAAAATGTGAACAATGTAAAGGATGCAGTGATGCCACCTGACTGCAGACAGACTCCAGCAGGGGGAGGAACAACATCTATTAGAGCCAGACAGAAAACTGTGAAGCTCCACATGTACTAGTGAAGTGCTCTTGTTGGGATGGAGGCTTGGCTGCCCTGCTGGGCTGCATGGCAAACTCAGGTGACACCAGGGCTCCAATCCTTCTCAGTGGCCTTTTGGGGGAAAAAGGGGCACTTGTCAAACATCACTCACTCTGGGCACTAAAATAAAGTAGCATTCACCACAAGTCAATTGCAGATCTTCATACGATTATCAGTCTGTTCTTACATGTTTTGATCAGAGTGAAATATATAACAATGTTGAAATCTAAGTCATCAATACCTGGGCTGCGCTTATGTTCCATTTAGACTGATGAAATAGTTTATAGCTCTCAGAGTTACTTTGTACAGACTTGGGCAGATATTGTTGCATCATTTACATTCAGTTCCCATCTCAAAGTGTTATGTTTTCTCTGCAAACATAACTGGAAATGTAACTCTATAAAAGAGAAAGCTAAAAGTCTAGAGAAGAAAACAACAGGCTCAAAAAAAGCACACACTGCTGAGAGTCCTGGATCTTTTTACAGTCCATGGCACTAGTGATCTCATAAAAATAAAAGCAGGACCTAGTGTAGCTACTACCAGCACAAGAAGCCACTAGTGCACTGCTTGTAAATAAGGCAGGATAGATAGCGTACAAACATGTAGGATTTCATGCCCAAAAAGAAACGCTGTACAGCAGACAGACAGCTATCAGAAGCCAACTTTTTATGAGAACTGAGATCATGCAGGGATACCGAAACCACTGAATTCTCCTGGGAGCCACATCATCATCAGTTAACAAGCGCCAGATTCTGAACCTAATTATAGCTGTGCAACCTCACCATTTCCAGTCAGTTTGTAGATGTAAAACTGCAGGGAGTAACTAGTATTGCAACTAGAACCTGGGACATTCTTTTCAGTAACACAAATATAACTCCTCAGTGTTCACCTCCTGCTCTGGAATAAGAGAAGCTTTTTTGGTTTAATATATATTCCAGTATACACTTTTCTTATGAAAATGAGTTCTAATTGTTGGCGTTCTGCAAAGACCTGCAGGTTAATCACTGCTGATTCGATGGAACAACGGAATTCATTGCTCCATCATGAACATAAAGAAGATAGGAATAGCCTATTAAACTACATCCAAGCTCTCCCTGGCAGACAGGTCCTGAAAGGAAGAGCATAAAAGCAGTGAAGCATGAAGAGAAAGGCAGGCTGAGCTTGGTGGTATTTGCTTGGAATTACTGTACCATTTTCCTGATGAATAAGTTGCACAGAAGAGTGATGCTTGGACTTTACAAGTGTATAGTGTTTGTTTGGAGATATGAGCAGTGCAGGCCAGGTAAAAATAAGAAATGTGACATCTATGCAGTGAGAAAAGGAACAGCAGCACTTAAAATTACTAAAAGGCAATGCATTCACACAATTAATAAGAAGGTTGGGAGATCACAAATTATATGCCATGTCCCATCCACCCCTGCCAAAAGGCCACCACCTTTTACCTGGTTTAATGCTTTGCTGTCTTGCTGCTGCTCGCTCCATACTGTCTTTTACACAGTAGTACAATTCTCGACACTGTAACACATAAAAGAAGTTAGATAATGTGTTTTTGCCCCTGACATCAGAGACAGTGTATTATTAAAAGTACAGAGCAGCAAGACTCCATGGAAAGCATAGTCCTGTCTGGTGCAGCACACTGTCTAGGGAAAGCTGAGCTATGGCATAGCTGCTACGTGGCATTTATGTTAAATTTGCAGATTGAGTTGGGAAGAAGTTCCATCACAGCTAGGTGGCATAGGCTGCTGCTGACCAGAAGACATTTACACAGAAGAAATCTAAGCAAATTTAGTGAATTTCTTAGAATAGACTGGGCCTCAAAGCCATCCCATTCTGCTCCCCATCTCTCCCTCCAGCAACCACAGCCCCTTAAAAGAACTTGGTCATATGTATACAAAGTCTCCTCCCATGAGGTATAAACACTTCATTAATGCCACACCTGTCCACATTCCCCCTGTATTGCCTCTACCACTTCAAGGATACTTATCAACTATAAACTTATAACCAAATGACTATACAAGATTCCAGATATGTAAATGAGTTTCCTAAATCATTACACTGTCCTCTGCTCCCAGGTACCCCATGTCCTTCCTGGGTTCTGACCTTGTTTCATGTAAAGAATAAGTTTTAATTATTCAATAAAATGTATGCATTTTGAGGATGTTATAAAGAAAATTAGCAATAAAGCTTCAACAGTTTGCGTGTAGTTATGCAGCTTTAGCATCCTGTTATTCGGGAACAAGTTATTTTTAAATTTTTTTTTCCTAGCAAGTTTCACTTATTTATCTTGATCTAAAAATCAGCACAAGGCAAAGATAAGGGCTTTCAAGTTAAAGGCAATATAGACAACATGGAATCTACAAGTCCAAACACACGGGGCCAACCCCTAACCCCCCCCCAAAATATGACCTTTCCATAGGTTCTCTTTTATTTGCTCTCTCTTTCATGGCAGATCCAGTGTGGCAACAAACTCTTATTACCAGGTCACATCTCTATGCTTTGTGCTGCTTATCCATAATATATCAGAGTAAATATGTTCCTCAACTGTATTAGCTCATCCATGCTTTAATAAAGAGAAGACCTCCCCAGCTGAGCAGAACAGAGCTAGCTATTAGATACTGTCTGTACTTCCAAGTACAAAAAGATTAAGTAAACACACACACACACGCTTATAAAATACTGTCATCTCAGAACAGGCAGTAAATAGTATAGCGCAAGCAGTGTGAATCATTATTGCCAAAATCAGGCAACAGTGCTGCTAAACAGCCACTGCGGTTCAGTAATCATTACCAAAAGGAAATCCTAATACTGTGATTAAAAAATAGGGCATGTAACCCCATGAAATACCAAGGACTTATTTCTCTCAGTAGCTGAACAAACCTTCTTGGTGTAGAATTTATTCAGTTGCGTCTCCTGGCCATTCCTCCTCCACAGGCACAGCACTTTTGTTTTGGGACAGTACGTCATGTTGATGAGTTTCTCATACCACCACCGTTCATACACGGTGCCAATGTTACTTCTCAGCACAATGCAATCATCACACACCTGTGGAATAGAGAGTCTTAGAAGGGAATCCTCAGACCACTTATATGTAGTTAGCAATGCTACACTGTTCAGTCTTGTCCCTACCTCCATGAAGAAGATGTCTCCTGTCGTATCTGTTCCAGCATGCACTACAAATGTCTGCTTCTTGATGTGTCGACTGCCGCTGGGTCGGACAGCAAGCTCTCGAACACTCTAAAGAGGGAAATGTGCAGTTAACGATCAACTTCTATCTTTAATTTCTCCAATTTTATAAAATATCTAGCAGTTACATTTGCTGTATCTTTGCTATGGAAAAAGATGTACTATTGTGTGTACTGACACCACACTCATGTGTGTGCAGAACTAAGATGTCTGGGGTAATACCATATGGTTCTTTGCACCAGAACAAGCTCAGTTGCCCTGTAAGGTCTTTCACAGTTAATTGAGGGAAGACTAGTTCATACTTTTTGGCACACAGCTGAATGTGGAAGACTAGCAGCATTTGAGCAGAACTAGCTAGCATCCAAACTATAGAATGGTTGTGCTAGTAGCTAGTTAGTACAACTTGTCAGCTTCAGTCTATACTCCCTAATGAGCCATAATCAAAGGTTTTTGTACAGTGAAAGGGCTCAAGTTAGGGACAAAGCAAGTTATAATTTGAATTCACTTTACAATGAAGATAAACTCTCCAAAGAGTCCCATAGAGCTCACTGTCAGAAGTTCATCTTTATTTGATTTCATTCAAATAAAGAACCTAACAATTGCTAAGCAAAGCACACATACAGCACTGTCACACCTACAGAAGGTACAATATCAGCCAGTGGCTTCCAGCTGCTGGTCTGCACAGTGCTTCCTTGTGATCCACAAGGTAAGGCAGCTAAGTGATGATGCTATTTCTAGATTCCCTGACCCCCATATGCAGCTCTACCCCAAATTTCTGAAAACATAAGCTTGGGCTGCCATGACAGCTTTTGATTTTAGAGGAGGAGCAACCTTCCTCAAGTGTCCCAATACAAGGGATGCCAAAAACAAGAGTGAATAGTAGTAAAAAAAAAACTGTCACCATCAAGAGACCAACAGGAGCCAGTGACTGGCCTGATATATCCATAGTCACTTCTGAACAAGGCCCACTGTTGAAAGGGCATTAGTGGTGGTGGCTTAGGGACAACACTAAAGGATGCAGAAATGTCAAAGGGAAATGGCAGGTCAGAAACATAACCTGCCCCATTCATCTCAAATTAGGGCCTACCACAATTTTGCAATTGGGGCCTACTGCAATTGCCTGTGGCAATTCTGCAGTAAACAAACCAGACATTCAGCAATCCTCTCCCACTCCAGCAATAGCATTCATCATTTTGCAATATCCAGGTATTTTTCTTTTCGTCTCCCTACCCTCCCAATACCATTTTGCTCTTGTTCTTCAAGCTTTCCTCAGAAGACAAAATTATTGGTTTACAATGCCTGTTACCTGCCGGGGACTGCCTGTACATGATTTCACACTGCTCTTCAATTTGAATCATCATACAATTTCACTGGTACTGGGGTAACATAGTAGCACAGCACAGTTAACAGACTTTCAATAAGGCCATTATACTAGTGGTACAGGATGCTTTGTAATAACTTCCTTGTCATATAAAATGTATTTTCTCAAAAAGATAAAGGGCATTTTAATTGGCAATATTCCAGTCAAGTAAGCACAGGGACTCAACACCTCTAAAGCCCATGGAATAAACTTCCCCTGTTATCTGCCCTCCCTAAATAGGCTAGAGATTATATGTCCTCCAGTTTTTCTTTACTCACTAGGTTGGTTAGCTTGTCTAGCACCTCATTTACTTGCTGACTGTGCACCAATCCAATATGCGATTTTCCCATCAAACGGCGAACCTTCTTCCTAATGTCATTCTTGTTCACCTAGAAGGTAAATGCAGGACAAAGTTATTTCCCAATCACAAGCAAACAATAATCTAATTATTTTGGCTACAGTGCAGGAGAGGATAAAAAATAATTTGCTTAATCACTATCTGCTTTGCTTTCAGCCAATGAATCTTCAGGCAAAAGATGAGTAAAAAGCTGTTGAAACAGAGAAGGTCTCTTCCAAAACTCAAGGAGATACAGGCAAGTAATACAAGTAAAAAGAAACCACAAGACTGGATGGCATGAAGAGAGATGCAAATTTTTTTCACATTTTTGGGTAAATAATATCACTAAAAAGACAGCACTGCTACTCAACTGCATTTAGTATAGAAATATTTTGTTGAAAATGGCCTGAAGGATGTTCTGTGAAAAACACATGCTGTACTGCTATTTCCAAAAGTAACATGCATCACAAAATCCATAAATACCAAAGATACACCTGCGCTGTTATACAGCATTTACGGCCCTCTGATTTTCATTAACTGCCAAAGCGTGCATGAAACCAAACCAAATTCCTGCAGGCTGGGATGAAATTGCATAAGCCCCACCTTTGTGTAAGTGGGCAAATAAAAATCTGGTGCTAATATGGAAAAGATCCCAGCAAATGGAGCTTCACCTTCATCATAAGCATGTAAGCAATCATATTGTGTAGTAGTGTAGCCAGTAAACGGTCTTCATCATCCTCTAAACGTTTTCTGTCATGGTCTCCCAAAGAAAGATACCTATACAAGAAGCAGATGTGAAAGAGTTATAGATGCCTTTCCTCTGATTCATTTTAACAGTGTAAAAGAACAACATACTGTTCACAGTAGACAGAAGGAAAGAAATCAAGACATTACAGGAAATAGGCACTTCCTAGTAAGAACTGTTACTGGGCAAGGTGCTCCAGTCACTAACTGAGGCTAACAATCCATTTTCCTGCTAAGCCCAACAGAGTAGTCCACAAAGGATCATCCGTTTCCTCTCTTCCCCAGCTGAAGACTTGCAAAATCTGCAATCGCTTGAAGCCATCACAGGGCTGCCTTTATGTAGCAGCCTCTCTCTATACAGTAGCAACCCCTGCTCCTTTCAAAAATTGTTTCCCTTGCTCTATAGCAGAATCAAGCCTATGCAGGAAGAAATGGTGGCGCTGAGCCTGAGGCTCTCTTCACTCTTGCACAGTTAGGGCATTCAGCAGAGGGTGAGGAATGATCCCCGAGTCCTGGGCTGGTAACACACTTTACATTAAAACAACCACTAGTTAAAAAAAAAAGAAAGAAAGAATCCTGAGAACAGAGACAGGAACACATATGGCTCCTCTGTCTTAACCAAGTGCTGTAAACACTAGGCTACAATGTCCTGTTTCTTACTTTTTCCTCTTTCTGGTCCCATGGGACTTACATTTTTTGCTGGCTAGTAACCCAGGTTCACCAGGAGGGAGCTCCAGACAAACTATTCTATGGCTCAGTGAATAATGCACTCTCTTGAGACCAGGTCAATAAAAGGAAGGCATCTAGCAAACTGCAATATCTACAGGATTAAGTGTCTACTAAACAGGGATTTTTGGACTGCAGTTTGGGACTTACATACCTGAAGTCTCCTTAGGGTTTATTTTAGTGACCAAAGCCTTTTTCTGGTACTAAGAAGCCTAAGTCTGACTTTCAAAATGTACTTAGGCCTCTTAGTTAGGGACAGATATTAAAAAAAGCTTGAGCCTGAATTGATTCAATCTTTGCAGCATAGTCTACCCTGGCTAGGCTGAACCGGTTTGTAATCAGACAGACATTCTCTCTGGACTAAGGAAATTCAGGCACAGGCTCAGACTAGAAGTCTCAGCTTAGGCTAGAAGCCGGGGAGAGCTAGAGCAGCCCTCCTTTCCCTTGAACAGGGCCAAGTTGAGTGGGGGACATGGTCAGGCCCTGGCAAGATGTTTTGATTAGGGAGGTCTGCCTGCACCATCCCAGGCTTTTCCCCACTCGCTGCTCAAAGGATGGGAGTGTTGCCAGCCCCCATCCCCCTGCTAGCACTCTGGGGCCGGTGGGGGGTGCAGTGCATGCATCTGTTGATGATACGGAGCTTTACAATCTCCCTCCCTGCTTCTTTATACTGTCTGTAGCAAACTGACAGGGGGCTGATAACAGTGTTTATCACCTGATAAGCAAAACAGTAGTCTCTCTCCATTACTTCAAACTCTTCTTACCAGAGCTTAGCTTAGCTTAGCTTACTCTTTGGAGCTAATCAACAGCTCAGTTTACCAGCTGACCTGTTGATTAGCTCCAAACAGCCCTAAGCAGTCACTGTTCTGTCTGCCTGTCCCAGTGAAAATGGAGACACACACACACACACATCTGCATTAGCTAGCATAACACATGCCTAGGGTCCATGGGGCTGGGGTCCGTGCTGTGGGAGAAAGGAGGGAGGAAGGGGGTGGGGATTTCCTGCTTGAACAGCAAGCAGCAAGGGGGGGGCGGTGGGGTAGAGCAGGAGGAAGCCAGCCAGACCTTGCTGTGCCTGCAAGTCTCTGCTAGAGCTCTAGCCAGGGAGCAGAGGGGAGGGGCCAGCTCTGCTGTGGAACAGAGAGTCTGCCCAGCCCACAGAGCATGGCAGGATGCTGGGGGTGTCTGGTTCATCTTAAACTAGCAAGGGATCTGGGGCAGACAATCCATAACCCAGTTTGAGCCGAATCAGTCAAGTCTGATACAACATTCAACGAGGTTTATCTCAAACCAGTTTCAGCCATTTCCAAACCAGTTTATGTGCACTGAACATCTGTTCTGTTACAAGTTTAAACCAGTTTCTGATCACTTAAACTGGTTTGTGTGTAATGTCTGTCCCTAGCCCTTAAGTCTCACTGATTTTCAATGAAGCTTACATACTTAAGAGCCCCCACTACTTTTGAAAATTCAACTCAGGAGTATAAGGCATGAGGAACTTTAAAAAAGTCTACCATGGATCAGTATTAAATCAGAAATAATTTGATCTGAGAGGAAATGAAGTGGGAAAGACATCCCTGGCCTGGGCAGAGTCTTCTCCATGTTATATGTCGATACAGGGATGCCTTCTAGCCCCGACTCAGAAAAATAATTCTAAAGAGTGGTTTCCTTCCAGGTTTTAGTTGAAATACTCCCAATGGTTGGGTTTTTTTTGTTAGTTTTTATACCATCTGCAAATTACTTAGCACTTTCTGGATGCTCAAAAATGATAGCCAAGGCTATCTTGTACTCCAGCCTATCAGCATCTCTTCCCAGCACCTTTACTTCATTATTGACACAGTACATTTCATGCAAAGTTACCATATTAACTCACATACATACCCCCACACAAAGCATGCACCTTATTTTTGGAAAGCAGAATGTATAAAAAATACACTTGTGGCTCTGCAAGTTGTCTTTCATGATGCCACCTTAGTGCTATATATCCCCCAAATCCTTATTATCCTTCTTGTTTGAGAGTGGCTGTGAAAAGATTAACATTGGACTGCACACCCACCTGCCCCCCTCCCCTGCTCTTCCTGGAAGGGAGACAGAAGTTGGCAACCATCTTGTAGCACAGTGTCTTAATCTTTCTATGCCTTCATGCAGAGAAGTTCTGGTGAAGAAAATCAGCTTCCCTACTTAAGACGTGCACCCCAATTCTGGAAGGCTGTTTTTTTTAGAAAAGAAGTGCATGTAGTATGTGAGTAAATATGGTATTCTGGTTGCACATTTCTACCCATTTCTTATTTCCCCAGAATCATTACACCATCCTTAACATTAAAGAAACTTTTGTCCTGATCTTAAATACACGAAGAGGCATATATCCAAGAGAAAATAGTGAGGTCCATGCAAGATAAATGATGCAAGAACAAAACAAAACCAAAACAAAATCCTAGGACTGCTTCATCTTCTTGTGAAACAAGGATAGAAATAAACATGGTCTAAGACCTCATGCTAGTTTACCTGTCAATCATCTCCTGAGGTCCCTGGTCCATTCCCATTCCTTCTCTCTCTAGCATCACAGCATCCAGAAAAGCATCTTCCCAGAACTGCATCTGGTCCCACAGAGTTGAGCGCTCTTTACCTGGGCAATAGCAAGTTGAAAAATTCTAAGCTTGCACTGTAAGCGGACACTACAGGATAAGCTTCTTTTTCTCCCATCTGAAGATGCCCCCGGCCAACACACACACGAAAATAATCTCACAGCAGAAAATTACAAACAAGATCACAAGAGGGAGAAAGAGGGGGAGAGGGAAAGGAAGAACACTCTCCTACCCTACTTCATGACACATTCACTGCACCTTCCCCAAACCTCAGATTGAGACCTGCCCCAAAAACGTCCACTGAGTGTATATGTCTTCCTACTGCCCAAAAGGGGATCGTGCATCACACACAGAAAAGAACAAACCATGATGAACACAGCCTATTGAGCAATACTGCAGCAGACACAGAGGCAGAAAGAAGAAATTTTTACTTAGAGAGAAGGTTTCCATTGCAGCATCCTCTAATTGGTCCCAGACAGATCCTTTATCCCTTCCTGCACAATTCCAAGCAGGGAGGAACATGGCAGCAAAGAAAGAGGAAGGATGAAAAATAGGTGAAGAGGAAGAGCTGTTGATTAATGGTAAATTCACATTAAACAAGTTCAAAGACAGACATGCTTGTTATCCAAGGACACATTCAGCAAAAAACCAATGGGTCTTCAAGTCTAGTTGCTGTCCATTCCAGGCAGAACTATCTGCAGGAAACGTCAATACATTTTAGCTCGCAGCTATTATCCATCTCAGCAATTTCTCTTTTCAGGACTGCAACATAAATTCAGATTCAGGACCAACATGGGACTTGGACACGATTTATTTTATGCAAACTATAATCTCTCATTAATCCTCCCTTACTCATTTTTCTCCGGACAATCCTCCACTTCCTCTTGAACCACCCAAGTTGCCCTCCAGTCTGAATTCTGAATTCTCCAGTCTAGAAAGCAATGTTCCCTGAAGAATAAAATCTATGGGAGCTGTTTATTAGAATGAACAAGCCCAAGCCTGTGCAACTCCTCCAAATATCAGTTTCACAGCTCCCAGAATATTAACTTACCCAGAAGCCCTTCATAGAGATAAACCCTCTGGCTTGCATCCTCTGGAGCTCTGCCTGGCGTGCTGCCCTTTTTATCCTTCAGATTCGACTTTAAACTCTGAGATTTACCCTGAAGAATTGGAGGAGAGACACAATTTGACAGTCAGGCACAACTGCCCCTTACAGTATAAGCCATCAAAAAACATTTTGGACTTGTAAACCTTCTTTCAGACAGACTCTTTCCTATTACAATGCTCTTACCTCTTTGGGACTCATTGGCAATACAAGCATAGCAAAGACACTCCAAATTCAAGCTTACAACCTACTTTTGTATCGCTACTGAATCATACAGACATAACAAGGGGCCTACCTAAATCATGGCCAAAGTTCACAATGTGGAAGGCATCTTTAATCTCATGCTTTTTGCTGCACAACCACTCCTCGCTGCTGAGTGGCCAAGAGGAAATTAATGCCACAGCTTTTGCCTCTGCCATTGAGTGGTGGGAGCAGCAGGCATGCAAGGAAAAGAGTGAGATTAAAGGCACTGCTGCACCATGAACTTCCATTGTGATTTAGGTAGGTCCCTGGGCTTAACAAATCAGAACAGCAGTTCTTTGCACACTCCAAAGTAGCAGCTCCTTTTCCCATTTTAAAGCAACTTAAAAATGTATGTTTATCCATGCCCAGGTTGTCCCAAATGAAAGAAGCATCAGTAAAGGCTTTCACATCAACATAAACAATATTGTATGAAGGAAGAAAAAGAGGTGGTCAGTGCTAGAAGAAGGGGAAGTAAGAAGGGGAGTACAGAATGACCAGCTTAATAAGAAGCTAGTTAAAGCATTTTAAACACAAATAAATTCCATGAAACAAATAAGCATTGACAGTCACCTGAGCATGACTATGCTATAGCCAAAATGCTCTGCAGATATAAAAAGACACTCAGCATCTTCATGCACACAAAGTCTGTACAACTGGGACTCAAGAGAGATGATAGCAGAGGGAGTCAAGACAAAAAGAGATAATATGTGGGCAAGGACTGATAAGATATGTAATAATACAATGGCATATATGGACAATAAGGAGATGTACAGGCCCAAAATGTACAAAAAGGTGAAAATGATCAAGAATAATGCCAAGATTAGAGACATCCAAGGCAGATGACAGCTGACAGAGGAAGAGTTGAGAATGATCCGCTAGTTAGAAGAAGCACTTCTATGAACATTTAGGTAAGCAAATGGAGATGAAGACTCAAATGTATTTGTTCAAGACCAGTAGAGAGAGTGGACAACAAGCACAGTATAGGTTACCCTTAGATATCAGTAGAAGTCAAGTTATATCCTAAAAAGTGACAGCAGATAGGAAGATTTCACTCTTTTGTTTATTTATTTTTTTTAAAACAACAGAGATTCTAGGATTCAACTGGCAGCACTATTAGGAAATCTTTCCTCATGCTCATCCATAATACTGCAAAATTTAATAAAACAAAATCTTGAAATAATATTCAATAAAAAGTGTTCCCTAAAATGCCTGTAAATCAGAGTTTAAAAAAATATTTTTTTCATAGGTTTTTCAATGTATTTTGTGTATTGGATAGGACTTTACAGAGAGTAAGTTTCTCTTGTTAGGATTTATCACAGACACAGGCCCTGCAAAGAGTAGGGGTGCACAGATAAAGATTTTTGGGGTTGATACCAATATCCAATTTTTAAGGAGGCATATCAGTCGATACCGATCTGATTTCCGATACAGCATGGAGAGCTGCCTCCAGCTGGTTTAAGTCTGTTGTGGTGGAAGGGGAGGGGGCAAGGGCATGGGCAGGCGCTGCCCAGCTGGGACAGGTCAGGCGCAGGATGGAGGCACAGCTCACGTGGGGAGGGGATGCAGTTCCGACCGCTGCTTGCACCCCAGGAGGGAAGGGGGGGGTGTAGTCCCCAAATCTGCATGAGAAAAGTGGGTGGGCTGCAGCTGCAGGCTGGAGCCAGGCTCTTTTTGCTGAAGGCTGGGCTCAGAGCAGGAGGCTATGGAGGGGGCTGCAGCCACCCCAAATTTTGCCATAGTTCTGTCCCAGTGCCACCACCATGTTCCCGACACAGCCCCAGCTCTTCCTGGCTGAACCCTTGCCTCCCCCCATGCACTGGGAAGAGCAGGGGCTGTGCCGGGTGCATGGTGGCACTGCAAGGGAGCCGTATCCACCCCCCCACCCGGACGATCCACGCCTCTGTCCTGCATGGGTGGAGGTAGGGGTTGAGTCAGGAAGAGCTGGGGGTGCACCGGGCACGTGGCAGCAGCACTGAGCTACAGCGAAATTTGGGGTGGCTGCAGCCCCCTCCATAGCCCAGCTCCAGCAAGAAGAACTCAGCTCAAACCCACAGCTGCCCACTCGCCCCACACAGATCTGGGGGGGGGCACACACCCCTCCCCCCACCTGCAGTGGCAGTAGTCGTCCCCCCCAGAAAAGCCATGCCTCTGTCCCACGCCCCACCTCACCCCAGCTGGGCAGTGCATGCCCCTGCCCCCTCCCTCACTGCAGGAGGGGGTGATCTGCAACCCCCATGCCCCTTCCCCCACACCAGACTTACCAGCTAGAGGCAGCTCTCCACGCTTCCAGGCTTAAAAAGTGACTATTATCTGAATACAAACAATATTTACCCTGTTAGCTAGGTTTGACTGTAGGATACACATAATACTTGATGCCCTCTTATCTCGACAGAAATTATATATTCATTTTCACACATTGTTTGAGAAATAGCTGAATATTATCACCATTTTACAGATTGGGTAAACAGAGAAGGGATCAGCCTGTCCCAAAATCACAGAACAAGGAAATTTACAGAAACAGAATTAGAATCCAAGTGTCCTGAGGTCAGGTCTATTAGATTGTGCCTTCTTTACATATTTATCTTGAAAAATCTCCCAAGTCCGTTTTTCCTGTCTTTTATTTTTAATAGTGTTGTAGCGCCCAGATTGAGGTGTTCTGTCTGCCTGAGTAGTCCCAGAAAGAGCACAGTCAGATTATACCATAAAATAGCATGGTTATTCACCATCAGTTCTAGATCTTTCTAGCAGGACTATTTTCCAAACGTTTCCTTCTTCCTGACTGGTTTTGGCTTATGTTTCCTCACTTGCCTTAAGATGTATTTGTTGAAGATGACCATCCTATCACTTACCTATGTTATTAATTCCACTTGGTCTCCTTATATTAAGTTTCTACCCCCACAGCTGTTCTCTAGGTCTACCTATTTAACCCTATCAGCAAAATGTCATTAAGGTGTTTTGTCCCAAGTTGCTTTCCACTTGGTTAATAAAGCACTGAGTCAAAATGAATCTAATCGGATCCCTTTGGTATCTAGTAAGACGCTTGTACTCCACTAACAATATTGTCAGTTATGACTCTGAACTTTTAAAACAAAAACCACAATATAATATGAACAAATCTTATGACTACATATAATTCCAAATAAATAATTCTAGAATTTTTGCACTGTAATGATGGACTGTAAGAAAGAGAGAACAGAGATCTCACTGGAACAAGCAACAAAGGAAAAAATGTTCAAAATTGGAGAGAGAGGACTAATTTAACTAGAGAGAATAATTTTAGTCAATTTATATAGATCATGTTAATATCTGCACCAAGAAAAAAAAACTGTTTACATTACTGGATGCAGTTATTCCCAAAGCGCATATATTTTAATAGACAAAAAATATTGTGATTGTTCATTTCAATTTCAGTACAGTGTTCAGATCTGCTCACTGGGAAAGGGTATTTAAATAAAAACCATAGTGATGCCTCAGTTATTACTGGAACAATGTTTTTAAAAGCCATGGAACAGCTGATAAACACAGAGATAGGTCACCATATGCCCACATTGAGCAGCTGCTTCAACAATAAGGTATCAATTCCTTTTTGCTATGTAATGCTACTTACTCCCATCAGGGACAATATACATACAAAGGAGAGATTATATGTTAGCTTGGTTGAGAGTCATACTGCCAGCGGGGAAAAGATCATTAATGCCCATTGTATGAAAACAAGAGGAGTGGCTACACACATACTGCATGTTCAGGGAACTGCATAAAGCTTGTACCTGCAGTATCAAATGCCACATAATTCTCAGTCTCGATTAACCCTGTGATAGGAAACAGAATCCCTAATACCACCTTTCTGGCCACACCCCCCCCCCCCCCCCCCCCCCCAACTCATTTATAGGATCTCTCTAGAAGACAATCCAGCACGTCCTTACAAAGATGGAGCTAGTAGCAGAATTTGTCTCAATTTCGCTGTCTGACACAGTTCCCCGTGATCCTGTTAGGTTTCCACCATTTTCCCCACCGAGACCATCACCAGTATTGCTGCTCAAGTCACTGTCTGCCCCTAATGTCTCTCCAGAACTGTTACTAACCTGCAGAGAAAAAAAAAAGAATTTAGATTGGCTTTCCCTGATTTCCATTAACAAGAGATATTGTAGAAAGAAAAAGTGTCAAGAACATCACCCTAAACCTGGTTACGTCTCCAAGGTCCCGTCATCTTCCCAACAGCAGCACAGTGCAAGGCCATATCTGTTCTGTCTTACCGCAAGATAAACCCTCCCGTGACATCCCACATGACAGAAAGAGGTAATGTCAACAAGTAAAATGAATTAAAAAACCCTTTTGGTCAACAAAATCTTAACTGTATGCTATCCCTGTCCCAAAAGACCTCACTGCCTTGCAGATCAGGAACCAGGTGAAGAGGGTTAGGGATGCAGACTCTAAACATCTCACCTCAAAGCTTTTCAGAAAAAGGAAGTTAGAAAGTTCTCTCCAGTGTTGGGGCCAGGCTGTAAGTGTCAGACAAATGTAGTTAAGGGAAGGCTCAATCCCTTTCACCAAGTACATTCCTTGCCACTTTTCTCTTAAGGAAAAAGAAATCTATCCATGTTGTGGCCCTCATTTAAATTACCAGCAAATGTATACATATATAAACAGCTGCAGGTGTGCCACAGAAAATGTAACTCTAGAATGAAACTTTAGAAAGTTTTCATAACATGTCCCACAAATGGAATATAGATACTTATCAACACACAACAACAAAAAGCAATACATATGGACCTAACACCCACCCAGGG